TGAGAAATAATGTGCATGGTGTTCATTAATAATTTGATATTGAAAGGAAATTGCTCAAAGAGCTCAACACAAAGCAGATATTTCACATTTAATCTGGGATCCAACATGTTCAAGTCTTGGATCATTCGTATCAAGAGCATCTTCCAAGAATTAATCAGGTATGCAGTCAGGGCTGAATCATGGCTAAGTGTTGATGAATCACAGAGATGTTCTGAAAAAGCAATGATGCCCCTGGAAACTTGTGGAAAGAATTGCAACTGAAACTACCAAGATCAATATATCAGCACGAAGGAGTTAATTAAAAAGAGATTTATTTAGCACATTATGTAAAAGATGGGAAACCTTCAGCACTGAAAAGATACACATAAAAGCCCTGGAACAGTGCCTTTCTGTCTTTGACTTGCACTACTCCCTATTATATAAAATATAGTAAATATCATATTGTGGTGTTCTCTATTAATCACCATTTTTAAACTATTATTTTTTAAAAAAGAAAAATTTTGAAATGCAATCTTAGAAATAAAAAATTACTTATATATATATACATATATACTCTCTTGAGGGAGTTTACTAAAGGGAAAAAAGCACAGAATCTGATATGTCTAGTTAGTTTTTGTATGTTGAGATATGTATAGAAAGAAGAGTTCTGATCAGCTAGAAAACTTTCCTCCTTCATTTTTCATCTTCCTATCAACCTCAAAAGGCCCTTTAAGTATACCATAAATAATGGTTTATAAGCATACCTTATATCCACCATATTTACTGTTTAGTTATGTTTTAAATTTGTCTTCAGTAAAGCTTTAGAAAAATCAAAGCCTAGCTATCTGGAATGGAATGAATCTACTGCAAACTGATAAGGACCATCAAGAGAAAAACTCTTGATAAATTAAATTTAACTCAGTGTCTTTGAACAAAGAAAAATTCATGAATCAGACAGCACTGAGAAGAAAAGAAGAAGAAGAAGAAGAAGAAGAAGAAGAAGAAGAAGAAGAAGAAGAAGAAGAAGAAGATATTTCGAGACCTCTGCTCTCAAGTAGGCAGTAAGTGTGAATAGACTAAAACAAAAGTAAAATAAAAATAGCTTGATTGTTTAAATCTAGACATTTGTCTTATTTTTAGATGGCTTGGTGAATTGACAGCCTATGGTTGGCTAAAACTGAGCTGCTTGTGCTTGGCTGAGACCTGAATTTGTGTTACAATAAGCAGGCTTCTAAATTAGGTTTTCAGCCTTCTGACATAGTGTTATGTTGCAGTTCATTATGTGGAGACTCCAGGTACGGAAACACCCTCAAGCCAAATTTAATTCAGCAGCAACTACAGCTGACTAGAGCAACAGCATGATACACACCAAAGAGTAAAAGTGGGAATGTATAAACTTAGAGTTGTGGCACTAAGTAGACATGCAATGCAACTGGATGTGAGGTCCATGCGAATGTTCTAAACAATGATAATGGTTTATGAACACGACTGAAGTGAATTGGGCATGGGAAGACAAAGCAGGTTAGCTTGAAGACTTGTAATGGGGTTTAAAAATATATTGGTTCAAAGATTTATCACAATAAACAACACAAAGCTACCACTTGGCTGTCATGTTCTCCAAAGTATGGATGCTGTCATAGTGCCAAGATTAGGCGGGTTCCTCAGTGTCAGAGCTTGGCTAGGATGCTGATGAAAGATTACAAATTGATATCATCAAAGACACAAGATGCTCCAGGAAAAGTCCAGGGGAAGCAAAGCACAAACTCCCATTACCCTCTTTCAGTGAAGGCATGCAGAGCCCGGAACTCTCCCCACAACATGTGAACCCCAAGATTGCTAGAAAGGGAAGCTCACCCAAGGTGTTTATTGGGGGACTGTTACATAGATATGGAAAGCCTATATGACAAACCTTAACCCCAAGAGTTCAGATGGATATAACATGGCCCCACACCTTCAATTAAATAAAAAGGCATTTACTACAGTGTTAGCATAAAATGCCAGATGTGACTACCTGCTCCAGGTGTACAAAGACAGTCCTATCAGGCAGGATATTCTAAGGCTTTTTTTGGTCTCCATATGACATATTCATTTGTAATATTCAGGATTTAAGTATCCCAAATCTGTTGAGTGAACCCAATACTGTATCATATAGAAATGAGTTTTTTGCTCCACTCTCTCACAGTTCATAATCATTTTACCTACTCCTGTCAACTTAAGTCTCAAAGATAGTTCTGTTGATTTATTTCCTGCTGAACATCTATTAACAACTTACCGATGACTAAGGGATAAGATTCCTGTCTCTTAGGACAGCCTTGAATATTGGTTATAACAGGGTAGGGATCCAGGGTTGCTAGTATTAAGTAATGTTCCTAGAAAATAAGAAGTATTGAAGGCACTTATTTGAAAGAATAAATAATAAATGAACCTTTCCTATTAATTCTTGTCCCAAATATCTTTGGTAGCATGGTCTCTCATTCTATCTGTGCCAACAAATTGAGGTTTTAAACCATGCTTCAAGGTTTAGGTGAAATTCTACTCCTGCTGTAAAGCCTCCTGAAGCCTTCACAGCAGGAATCAGCACTTCCTTATGTTCCCGTAACTTAATTATCTTCTGGAATCGACTTTCCCAGTTCCACCTTGCCTTATAGTCAATTGTGAGTGTCTCAACTTACTCATTTTTAGAGTAGACCTAGTAATTTACTAGAATTCCTACCCTAATGAGCTACTGCCGGTTGTTAAGTTAAATTGAATATGCAATTATTTAATTCTAATTTTAAGGGTCATATTACTAGGCTAAAATAGAGCTAAATAAAATGTAACTAATATCTAAAATGTCCTATGGTTGAACTCAGTCTGAATCTCAGAAAAGTGGTGTTATTTGCTTACAAATTAGACTCAATGAATGGTAGATTAGAACAAGTACAGAAGAACACAGTGTCTGGAAAGGCAGCATAATGTTCTCCCCGGGATAAGCTGAATCATAATTATAAGTATGTTTCATTTTCCCTGCCTGCGTGTCCTTTGGAAAATGTTCTTACCTTCAGTGCTTCAAGGATTTATCTCTCCATGGCAGTTTAAAATTTGTTCAGTTTTAGTGCTACCTATCATCTCAAAATACCTGAAGTTGACCTTAGAAATTAAAACTGGCAAGAATGTTAGTGGCAGAACTTCAGTCTGTGTACATATTGGGTCTGTGTTCACACTTTCCCCTGAAGAAAAAAAAAAAAGAGAGAGACACTTCTTGTTAGGGCCACCCCAGTGAAGATGGGTCATGAAAATTAAGAGCCAAAAAGTTAATTTTAAACAAGTTCCCTTGAGTCTGAGGACTTCTTTTTTTATTCTTATAAATTTGTCCTTATTTTATGCCATTTTCTCTTTTTTATTTTTACTTAAATATTCTCAGATTTTGTCAATCCTATGTTCTTCCCAATCCTTGCTTACTAAAACCATTTTTACTAAGCATCTACTTTCTGCCCAGCACTTTGGTATGCATAAAAATCACTGCCACCAAAAAACCTCATTTAATCATAATGAACTTTTATGAAGGAAATGTTCAATGTTGTATGGGAACCTCGTTGCTTTCTGCTACTATAATGATAAGTAGGATTTCGACCTCTGGACAGATTATGCTATAAGACAAGAATCTTTAAAAACCTAGCTACATGTTTTAGTGATTTTAATAAAGCAACATATAAGGGACAGTGTGCTTCTGTAATCCTGTTACTTGGGTGGCTGAGACAGGAGGATGGCAAGTTGGAGTCCCACCTGGGTAACTTAGTGAGACACTGTCTCAAAATAAATATAAAGGGTGGGATTGAAGCACAAAAGGAAATTCAAGCAAGAGAGGAAATGTAGAGTAAATGCATGTTTAGATGACACTGAAAATCTGTTTTCTGGAAAATCAGGGAGCGTTCACTTGAAGTGTCAGTGGAGATCAACCAAGCTTTAAATTGGGAGATGACACCCTTCCCAGTGTGCATTACACAGTCGGTTCTCACTGGTCTGAGTCTGCCTACATCAGCATTCAGTGGACTGAGCCTGGGGTTACAGGGATCTCAGGGACAGCAGTCAGTGAACAGGAGTGAATTTTTCCCACAGTAGCCCCTTCTGCGTGTTTGAGGAAGCTCTGTTAAAAGTTAACCAAGGGAAACTTTCCTTTTCTCTACTCAGTCTGATCAGAGAAATATTGTATTTGCTCAGTTTCTCTGTGTGTCAAATTAGTATTTGCCTCATGTTTATGCATTTTTCATTTGTATTATGAAAAGTGTTCCACAGTGGTGTAATTCCAATGAAATGTTACTATACATTATGTGTTTTAAGATGCAGTTGCTCAGTAGCAGGGAATAGAGGACCCAACAGGCCCCATGCTAGCTGGACTCGCATACTCTTGTATTTTATCGTGACAGTGACTCCACATGCTCAACATACATGAAACTCAAAATCATAACTCTAAGTACAGTAGATTAGCATCAAATGAGCTTTCTCCTCAATTTGGTTAGAAAGAGTAGATAGCTTAACAAGAAGCTTATAAGCAAATGTTTAAAAATAATATACTTTATTTGAAAAGATAAAATGAAGAATGTGTGGTTAACATTTTCCTTACACAAACATACACAAAATTCTTAATTGTAAAGGTCTTTTAGGCACTTCCTTGTCACTGAGACATAATATCCCACACTTACGTTTTAAAGGAGGAAAGGTTTACTCTGGCTCACAGTTTGTAGAGGTTTTAGTCCATAGTCTCACTCCAAGGAAGCATGGCCTGGCAGAGAGGGCCTGGCTGAGGGAAAGCTGCTCAATTCATGGAGACTGGGAAGCGGAGTCAAAGGAGGAGTCAGGAAGGGAGATAGACCTTCTGGGTCACATCCACGGTGACCTGCCTCTTCAGACCAGACCCCAGATCCTAACAGCTCTAAGTCCTTCCAGATCAGTGAGGATTTGAAGGGCATTTTAGACCTAAGCCAGACAGAGTGTACCTCTCTGCCTCTCTTCTTGTTGCTAATGCCCCTCTCTATTTACAGGAGAACGTTGAAGGAGGGGACTGCAGTCGATGCAAATCCGGCTTCTTCAATTTGCAAGAGGATAATCCAGAAGGCTGTGATGACTGTTTCTGTTCAGGGGTTTCAAGCAGATGTCAGAGTGCCTACTGGACCTATGGCGATGTAAGGATGCCCTGCCCTTTAACCCTCTGTGCTGCTCTGTAGGTCTTCTTTGCTGGTACTTTTGTTCTTTGTAAGATTTTTACAAGTATGCTGCAGTGAGCTCCTTCTTAAATTTGTCAAGAAAAAGTGATGGATTTATCTTCAAATACTGTTACTGTGTCTTCGCTTCAAGCTTTAATGGGTTTGTCAGTAACCATGGGCTGGGAACTCTTGAAATCATAGATACTGCCCTTTGCAACATCTATAATTAGTATGTGAAACAATAGTGTGATTTATTTTAATCCCCAGAAGACAGTATGTAACAGAGAGAGCATAAGACTGTAACACAAAAATTATATTTTCTATCTATTTCTGTATCTTGTATATAATTTAGAAAAATTCCTTTTTCATTATTATATATAAAACATATTATGCAACAGCCTTTTGTTATTATTTAGTGCTTTCTAGGCTCTCTCACTATTAAAATAAATTTGGATGACACCTTCACTTTTAGTTAATTAAAAAAATTTTTAAATTATGACCTGAACTAGTCATAGCCAACTTGCCACCTATTTTTCCCTCCTCTCTCTCTTTAGTTTCCTTCATTCTTCCTTTCTTATCATCTTTCTTCCTTTGTTCCTTCCTTCCATCTTTTTCTTTCTTTCTCTCTCTTTCTGTCTTTCCATCTTTATCATCTCCTTTAATATTATAATAAAATACAAAAATAAAGGAAGTTTTGTTATACATATGTATTAACTACAATATATATTTTATATACAGCCCAAGACAATTTCTCTTCACTCAAAATATATAAAAAATAGATGACCAAAAGGCAAGCCACAGGTTGGACACGGTTGAAAACTACTTAGCAGTAAATGGGATTGTCTCCTAACTTAAACATGCTCACCTTTCTGCTTCCACTGCCTTGCCCAAGCTCCACGGCGTCTCCCTACTGGCAGCAGTTTGCCCCTTTTCTAGAAGGGAATTTAGAGGAAAATGAGATCTTCATAGTCTTGTTAGAGTTATTGATGGATTTTTTTAAGCAGTAGAGGTGAGATGGTCAGAGTTGTTTTACACAAAATCCTATTTTAATAAACTGTCTCCCAAATACTTCTTTCTTTTAAGTTTAATCAGCTAACTGATTAATCTAGAATATAGCTATTAAATATTTTTCCATCTATATTGTATTCAGTCAAGTTTGGAATATTATGAGTAGTTTCTGATATGCTCTCATGTCTAAATTTGAGAACACATTATCAAGTGTATTGTTATCAAAGCAGACTTTGAGGAATCAACAAGAAATGATCATCTAGTTCCAAACTTCTTCATTTTGTAGGTAGAGTCCCACCCAGCCTCCCATCAGCGCCACTGATATAACAAGGTTTCCCAACTAGCCCCGAGGCAGAGCTGGTGACATCCAAGCTTAGGGTCCACTGCATTCCACTGCCTTAGAACACCTGAAGAGAAAGAGAGTGGAAGTTGTTGCCTATTGTCTTCCAAGCCAATGAGTTTATAACCAGTCTCTATTTTTTTCTCTCAGACCAAAGCAGTTTTAGTGGTTTCACAGCTTTGGAACAGGCAAAATCAAATAATCCCTACATGAAGAGACTTCAAAAAATATTTCATCCTCACATTGTAGCCAATTGCCCTTCCTCTTACAGCACCAAGCAGTTTACCCATGTCTAATAGAACCCTGGTAGCCAATAGCCTGAATTCTCAGTAAACAGTGTTTAAACTCTAAGTGTATCTGTTTGCCTGTGTCTGGCTGGAAACAATAGAAAAGTAAATCAGTACATATTCCTTCATTTCTCCGTTAAGGCTCCTTGCTCTTCTGGGGCAGAAATCTAGGCTATGAGTTCCCAGAGTACTTCTAAGCATTAGGGAAGGCAAACATTCAGTATTGCAAGTTGTTGTCATAGCAACAGGTTGATGGAGTCAAATGTCCTTAACTCTCAAAGTAGAAATTGAAAAAATTTGGAGGGGAAGAAATACTAAATGAAAAGCCAGCTTTCAACAACTTGTATATTTTCTTTTCTTCTCCTGTGTTAAAAATACATATGTAACCCTTTTAAAATATTTTATTTTCTTAAGCAACAAGAAATTTCATCGGGTGTAAAAAATATAAAACTCAAAGTCCAACTATTTGGTGCATTGTATAATAACTATTCTGTAATTGTGAATTAATTTCTATTTTTAAAAGAAAAGGCAGTACCTGGAATCACAAGTCTGAAAAAGTATAGGTTCAATAAGCACCATCCAAACTCCCAGAAATATCAGGAAAAATGAAGTAAACATTAGGAGCCTCTCAGCAGTCATAAAATAAGTTTTATGATATTCATATTGAAGTGTTTATAGTCTTATCTATAAAATACAAGGAATATGAAAGAGAAAATAGTTGGTGGATTTTAATGACTGTTGTGTGTTTTCTGTAAGATACAAGACATGAGTGGCTGGTATTTGACTGACATCTCTGGCCGAGTCCGAGTGGCACCCCACCAGGACAGCTCTGGGTCACCTCAGCAGATCAGCATCAGCCACGCAGAGGCCCGGCAAGCCTTGCCAGACAGCTACTACTGGAGCATGCCAGCCCCATACCTGGGAAACAAAGTAAGTCCATATGGTGCATGCTCCTCCTGCTCTGCTTTCATTGACTGATGATGACAGTGCATTTCACTTAGCATTTCTTTAAAGAAAGATGACAACCAGCACATATGATATGGATTGCAGAACCAACTAAATTATTTCAAGTTGAAGAGTTCTCCCATGTCACATGAGTGAAGTATGTATACAGGACAGTAACTCCCTAGTTTTTAATAATGCCACAAACTCCCTAGTTTTTAATATAATTGGAGTTCTATTTAAGCTTTTTGAATGGATCTAAGGAAGAATGCATGGATGGATGGATGGAAGGATGGATGGATGGATGCATTAAGCCTCTGAGATATTTTGTAGAATATATTATAGATATTGGGAGAAATGGTGTTTGTTTGAAAATAGCTGTTTTGTAGAGTGGTTCAGGATGAAATACTGAAATCTTTCTCATCTGTTTCTATTTCATTTCAAAATTGATATTTAAGAGAGCTACTTTTTCTTCTACCTGGTATGAATGTTAATTAGAAAAGAAATTTATTATATAACTAACTTAAGGCTTGCCATGAGGCTTGTGTAAACAACATATTTCCTACAGCTCAGACAGAGAACCATCCTGGCTGTACCAGATTGCAAGTGCGTATTTGTTTTAAAGCCTGCTCACATGTGCACAAAAACATACACAGACAAACAAATGTATTAGCTTCAGAAATGCAGGCTGTTTTTGTTTTTGTTTTTTCCTGTTTTGAGTTATATCTCTCTAGATAGATACCTTGGTATTTAGAATTTTATTCTCCCTAATAATTAGTTGGAAACTACATTCATTGTCTTAATTCTGCAAGTACATACTTGTTGGGTGTCAGCTGATAGTTAAAATTATTACACCAGAAGCTCCCATGGAAAAACATCTCTTAGTGAGTTGATGCTATTTAAATCCAGAATACCATGTTATTTTTGAAGAAATCCTCATTGATTAAATAAATAAACTATATTCGTGGTTATTGGTTCTTGCATGTAAGTATTGAAATAGAAAAACTTAGTACTGTATCTCATATGCTTCTCAGTAAATAGGAACTGGTGGCTTTAATGGGTTGAAAACTTTTAACTCACAGGGAGGTTCTTATTTTTAACGAGCTTCTCAATGCTATTACGAAAATGTGTAAATGGACAAAACAGGTCTTCAATGAACATGTATTTTAAAAGAGAGAACATATGTTGCATAAAATTCAATAGCTGCAATAAAAATCTAATTAAACTTTTATTTTCAAGGCCCTTTATAAGACGTCATTTTATCCTATTCTATTTAGGAACCTCCTATATTCCCAACAAGAATAAAATAGCACATATGGCTTGAATTTCTGCTGCTTAAAATTGCCAAGAAAAACCCTAAAAATAAATGGTCATTTTTTTTTTCTTTGACTCCTCAGAAGAGTTCCAAGAAGAGACTTGGGTCTAACTTAGATAAGTTTCACAAATTTTATTTTTTATACAATGGGAAAATTTATTTGGAGGTAGAAGATAATAAAAATTGTCATATTTTCCATCATTTCTTCTTTGGTCATATGCTTTTTCTTTCTGTTGGCTGAAAATCAAACCAACAGACGGAAGGCAGACAGATGAGATGTTCAGTAGCATCAGAGCCAAGAATGTGGACATGCTATTTGTTGCTGTACACTCCCAAAGATAACTTCCCTTATCCAAGCTGAACTGTATCATGTAACCATCCACAAGAAAGCACTTCAGATTCTGCTTTCCTTGCTCCAGTTTCCATTTAGTGAGCAAAATAATGGTAACAAGTTGTGCAAAGTGCTTGAATATGGGAGATATTTTTTAATGTAATGTGGAAGCCCTGGGTGGTTTACTGTCAGACGTCTCAATATGAATGAAACAATTTGGCTTAATAACTGAACCACATAAATTTTTCATACTACAATAATACTGCAAGCTCTCAGAAATTACTACAGTATATCTTAACTGTCATGTCACATCATGTAAATTATAGTCATGATGACACGCTTAGCTTGGTAGATTTAATATCTTGCTAAGGAAATGGAAAATTGCAGGACCTTGTTTGTAAATTCAATAAAGCCACTTTTCTAAATAGTTGAGGCTAAATTCTTTACCAGCAATTGCTGTTCGAGTCAGAGCCACTGCCAGAATCTGACAAATATTTTATCAGAATACTAGTGCATCTGCTTAAATACTGAATTTCACTGATAGCCACAACCAGGGGGCTGTGGGTATATAAGCCATGCATTACTTTTTTAGTGTTAATTCCTAAGTTAAAAACATTTATGGGATGTTATTAGCTTTCCCTAAATGTTTACATATCTAATTTGCAAACATTTTCTCCATCACTTGGTTAGAAGGCTGCCTGCAGCAGAGCAGAGAGATGCCATAAGGAGACGTGCTGTCTGTCATTCCTTTCTGAGCAACATAACCCCGCAGAGTGGAAGTGCTTCCAGTGCTGATGCGCTCTGCTAACACAGAAGCCTGCCTGACTGTAATCAAACTTAAAAATGCAAATCACTTCAGTAAAGAGTACTTGTTATCCTGTGAAACATTTGTAATATTTTTGCTGCATGGGATAGTGAGGTAGAAGTAAGTGATTGTAAGAGTGTGTGTGGATAGTGGAGGAAGCCCAGAAGAACATGGCATATTTTTATATTGGCTGTCAAAAAAATTCCGATGATCTCTACTATAAATGAATTCTTCAATAGTAACCATGAAGTTTTTGGTTCATATATATGTGAATTTTGGCACAATTGGCAATTTATTTTCATAGAATGTTCCCACCTTGTTTTAGATAGTCTAATAGTAATAACTCATGCAATGACGGGGCTAAATTAGGCAGCATTTTATTTTCAAATGCTGGGCAAATGTGAATACTTGTTTTGGGGGCATTTGGGTAAGCATGAAACCAGGCAGAAAAGGAAAAAGGTAGAAGACAAAGAATCCTTCTGGCTTGCTACAAGCTGAAGTTATTCAGAAACTGTTCAGGAACTTCAGACTTGAGATAGTTTACTGGTTTAGTGAACTAAATGACCCTGGAGCACTGAAGTAGTCATTTGCTTAAGGTTACCTTAGTGGTCTGAAATAGTTCTTGCAACTTCCAGAAGTAATTCTTTGCATCTGTAAACATCTCAGAGAATCTGGTTTGGCTGCTCTGCTTCTGTTTCCACATTAGCATTAAGATTTGAAATTCTCTCTCTGAACACTAGGGAATTAATCCGCTGTGATTTGTTCTTTACCAAATAATTCTTATTTTCTACAACATTATGCTGACTTTCCATTGCTAGCTTAGTAAAACTTGTAAATTGTTTCATGTAGCAGCCAATAATACTGAGAACCTAGCTTAAGACGTGCATTATGAGAGCCTGCTGACATAATAGCATCTAGCTTCTAGATGTAATCCTGGCAAATTCTTTTGTTGTACTTGCTTGACTTTTAGTTCTACTTCACAGAGCCCAAATTATGACTGTGGATTTGAAGGAGGACATTGATATTTGAGATGTACAGGGCAGGGTAATTCTTATCACATAAAAGGAGCTTAAGAAATACTTTGTGATTGATGCAACATCTTAACACAAACAGGGAAAATTTTTAAAATTGTTCGAATAGGTTGCTAAATCTTTCATTTGGGGTTTATGTGTGAGTTGAATGTTGATTTTAATTTTGTTTTAAGTATGATTTACTTTTTTAGTAGCATAATTTGTATTTGTGACTTTCTTGCTCCATCTTCCTCAAAACTATTTGAAAGTAAAATTCAAGGGCCGAGAATTTAGCTCAGTGGTTCTACCGCCTGCCTTGCAAGTGCAAGGACCCGAGTTCGATCCCCAGTACCAAAAAAAAAAAAAAGTAAAATTCATATTCAGAATCTATAACTCTCTCATTGAAACCTTGGATTAAATGGATTAATTTAAAAGAGCAATATGCATATAGAGAAAGGAATAGTCATAAAAGTAAATATGATAAATAAACTGTAATTGATTTTTTTATTCCATAAATCAAATGATCAAGAATAATTTGAGAATGGAGCAGGACCAAGGAGAGTTTTATGCCTAGAATAAAGCAAATGAATTGTAAAGTATAAATGAGAAAATAAGTATTAAAACATATAGTGAAACCAAGGAATCATTCATTTGTTATAGTTTATACTATAGAATATAGTTTATATTATAGAACAAAATTAACCCATGTAGGAGGACTCAAGGTCACACATAGACAGGCCTTAGACTTCCATATCCTTGTCATAATGTTATCTTCATATCTTTAAAAATAAATTTATAAATCATTAATTCATCTATATTATATAAATACCTACATACGTACTTCTGTTTCCACTGTTTTGTAATGAAATACAATACACAGAAAGACAGTTTTTTACAATTAACTAACTGAACAAGTACTAGGTAGGGGACCATTCAGTTGAATAACAACTTAGTGGGAAGAAGAGTTTTACTTAGCAATAATTTTAGTATGAGTTGGCTTGTGATACTATTGGCAAAAATATAACATAATCTAGGGCTACACTGGTAGGAACTTACTGGTGAGGACAAAGGAGACAATGGCTATACAAAACATATGTCCCTATGATACTCAGCTTACTTGTGAATTTCTGCTTCAATTTCTGTTAAGGCGCATGACTCTTCTGGATTAGCTCGAAAACATCCCCCAAAGTCTCACATATTCAGCTGGGGGCCTTCTGAAGATGGCTGGACCATGAAGGTCCTGTGCTCATTGCTAGATTAATGCACTGATAAGTCAGTAGTTGAATGTGCTATTGGGAGGTGGGCCCAGGTGCAGAGGGGTTACGAGGGCTGGGCTCTGGAGGATGTCTCTGGCCCTGCTCATTCTGTGTCTCTGCTTCCAGGCTGCCATGCACTGAGCAGCTTCCCTCCACATCCCCTTCCAGCATGAGATTTCTGCCTCGGAACCAGCTAACCATGGGTTGAAGCCTCTGTTACTGTGAGCCAAAATAAACTTCTCTTAAGTTGTGTCACTTATTTTATTTCAGT